GCAGCCAAGATGGCTAGGCGTGACCACGTTAAATGGTCACAGCGATGAGATATGCATAAAGGCGCAACGAGGATACGCGGTACATGACGTCATGTAGACGCTGATTTAGTGTAACGGTCATTGAGGGAGTTTGCTTGGTACTTCGACGCGGAATGTGCCCGGCCCTTCTTTCACAAAAGCAAGGCATGGAAAAGGCACCTTAGATAACTGTCCTCTAAAGGAAGGGTTGGCCGAGTCAGCTGACAAGGTAGAGATTACGCAGTTGTCCCATTAACGACAATTCGTTGAGGCAAAATGCTGAACTAAAAGTTAGATCGATGCGAGGGCAGATGTTATTGCCACAAGGAAAATGAAGCCATAGCGGAAATATTTTCAGCTGATTTATATGTTACTGTGTTGGAAAAAAATTAAATGTCGACTTATAAGCAGTGCCTTACGGTTGACTCGTTCGTGTGTAAGAGCCTACAGTCTAATCAGTCGAAATGTAGGCAATCAGAATGTGACTGGGCGACACTCTTATTTCCAACTTCTTTACTAGTTCACATATATTTTTAGAGAGACAAAACATGGGAAAAGGTCTCATTATTTCTATCTACGTATTAATCACTCAAAACGAGATTATTTATTAATCTTATTGTATTTTCAATCAGACCTAGGGTCGTACTTATTCTCAAGTAATATTAGTTTGAGCCGATTTAGCCCATTATCACAATGGTCTCTATCGGCTAGTCTTATGCTTCATATAAGCTTAGATTTTTAACTGCCAAACTTTGTTTTATATCTATGGTTGACGAAGAAATTAAAATTTTTATATTATCGCTCCTGCCTAACTTTTCACCTGCTCTGATCACTAAAACATCAAAAAAAGTCAAGGCCTGGCAATCAGATCTCATTTGGGTCCCATTTTAGCGAATAATTACATACCAAGAGTGAAAGGATGCTTCATGAAAGAGATAAGATTGACACAAAAACTGTTAATTAGATATATGGATGACTATTTTGCCATGTGGCAGCATAGTTAAGGATAGCCTAGATATAGGAAATGTGAATAGGCCAGGGCAGAAGGCGAGATACCATAACTGTTTAGCACACGTTTGGTCAA